GGCAACGCTGGTAAGGCGTAAGGTTGAAGACTCCAATTATCATCACAACCAACAATATTAACGGATAGTTATACATCAACGAATGCCTGAAAAAATGTGTGTTGCCGGTCTCACCGAGGTACCGTCAAGTTAAGGCCAAATTTGGCGAGTTTCCACTACAGTAAGAATGCGCAACAGTGGTAATGGAGAAGTCGTCATTGAGAAAGGGATGAACCCCTGCCCGGATTTCCACCCAATCGAAATGTATTGGGGTATCATCGAAGCTAAACTGAAAAATAGTGGAAAATGGCTAAGGATGCTATTTCAGTGGCCAGCTACTGGAAAAAAAAAGCAGCCGGTGAACTTGAGCAGTAGTTGATGGCATGTATCAAGCCCAAAGTTTGCATTCGAGAGGAATACAAATCGCAAAACCCAATACAATAAATACATAACATTTTCTTCTAATAACGTTTTATTCTAAACCAAACAGATTCCAAGAGAAAGCGCACAGATTCTAAATAGGCAGGGCTTTATATTGGCATTCTAAGTAAGTTTGTCCTTCCGTGGATTACTGAACAATATGGACCGGAGCCGAATGTGGTTTTTCAGCAAGACGGGGCATCATGCTACACCTCAAACCGCACGCAGAATTGACTGAAGGAACATCTGTCCTTCCGGCCGAAAGATATGTGGCCGCCATCAAGACCCCTTGAATTACTCAGTGTGGCGCGTCATGAAGGCCAAGACCTGTTTCAAACGCCATTCCAGTAAAACAAGCGTCAGACAAACATTGACCCACGCATGGAGAGATATGGATCCGGACTATATTATCAGAATATGTCGAGCATTCCGGAAGCGTGTTGAGGCCGCAATTGCGGTAAATAGAAATTAAATCGATCATTAACATAGGTTTAAGTTCTTACAAACATATCCCTTTGCTCCGTAACGTGGGTAGATCACCTTTTCGTGGTACTTTACGGGATTTAAGATCTGCCACCGATTCCTAGTCCTGATTACTTCAAACTAGAGGAACATGATTTTTCAGTAATCAAAGGAACACATCTTAGTCCTTGTTACTTTTTATGCCTTGTTGATAGTGCCAAGAAAATGAGTTAATTAGTCTTCATCTATGTGATTCCTAATCTTCAATTCGTTGTTCTCTAGTTTGAAGTGGTTAAGACTAGGGTTATGATGCATGGTCATTATTGGTGTCATTGCACTAAACTAAGAACAACAGAAAAAATCGCTTTTAAATAAATATTTTTTTTCCACTCCGATAATTTTCAGATTTTTTGTTTGTCTTTGAAATTTGATGGAAATTTAATGGTGCAAACATAGCGGCGCTGGTGGTGTAGTGGTAAGCGTGATTATCTCTCACCCTAGCAGGCCTGGGTTCAATCCCAGTCAACGCCGCCAGGTGTGGGAGCTGCCTCCCTGGTGTCGGTAGCATTGGTGCTCAGTACGGAAAACAAGATCGACGGAAAACAAATCAAGGAAAAAACAATACGTCTACCTAGCTCCGTATTCCAGACAGGTGAATATTGATTTACAAACCATGTCAAACCTTTATCCAACCTCAAAGGTTGACTAAAAGTAAATTGGTACGCAAAAAAAGAACTGTAATTCGTGATTCAATAATTATGAACAAAAGTCCATTTATGGTTGCTTTACAGTACTTTTATTAAAACTTCAAAGTTACAGCATTAGATGGTTACATTTCTCCGGTTCGAACGAAATCTCAAACCTTCCTCTTGGAAACGGACATGGAATCAGCGCGTTTCTTCCATTTTGCCCACATTTGCCGCTTCGTCGAAGTCGCTGCTTTGAAATTGCCCATTATTTTTCAATTGGTCAAAATTACGGGCAATTCGGAGGATTCATTAGCTTGGAGACAAAATCGATCTTGTTGGTAGCATACCACTTCAGCTCCACCTTGGAGTAGTGGCAGTTGGCCAAGTCGGGCCAAAAGATAACTTTGCCCCTATGCTTGCGGATGAACGGCAATACACGCTTTTTCAGGCATTCTTCGATGTAAACTTGGGATGTCATCGTCGAGGATGACGAATGGTTCCGTTTTCAGGTCAAAACTGCAAATCGCTTGCCAAATCATGGCCTTCTTCACGAACTTGTCGGCAAACACGAACTTGAATCTTCCCGGCACATCCCTACGTCCTGTCGCGATGTAAAACTTTTGACCGGGAAGCTGCTTAAAATCGAGCTTGACGTATGTCTTCATCGATCAAAGTGCAGCCCTTGTGTTTCGTCACAGCACGGTTGTACAAGAGCCTTGCACGCTTTTTGGCCACGGAATTCTGCTTCATGTGACGGTTCGAATATTTACTAGCTTTGTACGACTTGTATCCTTCCCTGGTAATTATGTTCCGCACCGTTTGAAAGTTGGCGTTGTACCTTCTGGCCACATCTCGGATTGAAAGACAGGGGTTAGCTTTAACGCACCTCAACACCTTGCTGCGCAGCTGACGATCCCTGGTTCCAGTTTTTTCGTAGGTCCACTGATTCTTTTCCACACTCAGCGTTTCCTTGTTGCTCTTGAGCACTCAACAAACTGTTGTTTTCGGCATCTTCAGCACTTTAGGCAGCTTGGAGCCGGACCACTCCGGATTCTCCAGGTGTTTGTGCACAATATTTTTTCTGCTTTCGAGTTCCGTTTGACGTTATTTCTGAACGCGATCGACTACTTTGATAATCGTTGTTCTCTATAGAAGTATAAACGAACCACTGTCAAACATGTTCGATTCTCAACACTAGAGGCGTGCTGGCGACGCGCGAAGGGCGTATCAATTTACTTTTATTGAGCTTGCTAACATATATCTTTCCAAACTATAAATCACAAATAAAATTATACATTTAATATAATCATATATTCCATGGAGCTGGAGTCGGAGCCGGAGTCGGCACTGATCTCGCCATCCAGATCTCGCCAATGACATGCTTACTTCTCTGCAGCAGACAAGTAGGTTCATTTTGAACTTTGTCCGTTAAGTAGGTCGCCTGATGTGTGCCACGAAAATGCGTCGTGCACACTAAAAATTAATTAAAATTGCATGCAACGTAATCTGTTACAAACAGGGAACTGACATCCCTATCGTACTTGCAACAAGGACCAATAGGCAACAAAAGTGCTGAGGGCCAAGCTGACAATTCAACAATCTCGATGATTGCTTACGGTATCCATGGATTTAAGAATGATTTTCATTCATTTGCCTGATGGTTTCTAGTTGCTCGACGAATGTAATGTTAGAATGTAAAATTTCACGTTTCCTCCTGCGAATTTTCATTTTTTTACACTGACAAAAAATTACATGGCAAAGTTGAACTTTCACAACACTTATTTGCTGTATTTCCCATAGTAATTCGTCATAATCTCCATTCAAACTTCAACCATTTGCATGACCTCTAAACCTTCATCAATCTTTACCATTTTACTTTTGCAAAGCCTCATATTTGCGAGCTTTTAATCAAACTGGAGGGTGGCCTATTATATTGCAAATATGTACTTTTTTTTTAAATGAAGCACCAACCATACATACGTCAATTTATCTTCAAGTCCGCCAATAACCCTTTTTGCAATATAAGCTTAATATAGGGCTTCCAAGCTTTATATTAAATGAGCTTATTGGTTACTTGGAATATACTAAGAATTCAACTATTGCCGTATATTTTTTAAATATGGTAGCTGGGATATTGAATTCTCCAGACAAACATGCAGCTGCATAATTCCTTTCATCTCATCAATGATCCACAAAGTGCACTTTTTCTTCCAATTTACTCTGTTTAAAAACAAATCCTTTGAAAGCGTTTTTCAGTGTTGTCCACTTTCCGCAATAAAAGAAACAACCTCCAAGAACAGTGATAATCTAAACTGGTTGACAATTTCAATATGAGCAAACAAAATGTAAGCAGCCCCCGCCCTCAACAATGTTGTATACAAATTTAACAAATCTGATCACCTCACAGCATATAAGCAAAAAAGTATCACTTACCTACGGTAGTGGTTTGCATATTATAATTAATCTATTCACTGGCGTGAAGTAGCACGCTTTCCATCACTTTCAAGGTTCCGTACAACTGAGAAGCATATCATCTTCGGCGGGCGCTTCATCATACTCAAATGGATGCAGCAGTGTTGCACTGCAACCGCTGATTAGATAAACGATTCTCACATTCATTAAGGTTTTCCTTGATTCGTGCTGAAAAAGAATTATGCTATTGCCGGCCGACGAGAAACGTAGCTCTATAAACAAAATTATGCGGGGTGTGTGCTAAAGGTTAGATTGCATTGAACAAATTCGGCAAATCACAAATAAGAGAGCATTTTAATGAAAATGATATCCAAGCCCTCATTCCAATGCTCTTTTCATTAAACATCTGCGGAATTGTGCCATGTGGTTTGTCAGTTAATTTGATATCATGAAAACCTTGGTTTCAAAGTCACATCGAACACTAGAAAAAGTGCTGTCAACTCTGATCACAAAAAAAAATCAAATATCATAGTGATATTTTTTTACCATTCCACGATACTGACTCCCAATGTGTTCTCCAAGAACATATGTACGCTATTCTCTCCACTCGATTATAAAAACAAAATTTGTTCTCTCCACTGTGCTCCAAGTCCGCAGTTGTCGCGCCAACCGGCATCAATTTCCGCACCAGCAGCGAGCAAGCAAGCGAGCGGGCGAGTTTTTTGCCTCTAGTACCTAGTGGTTGAGCACGCTGCACTGCTTCGACACCTCATACTAAAAGCTCGACAAATCCGTAAGAATTTTTCACTCACGCGTGCTACCTCGGCAAAGCCAGTAGCATTAGTCGGAACTTCTGTTTTTCTTTTGCTTTATTTACATCCGTCCCCACAAGACCGAGGAGCGCGTTAGACGCGAGCGTGCTGATGTTTTAGTTTGAAGATAAGCGCCAAGCGGTTGGATCGCTTTCGGGTTTTCGGGTTTGAGGAGTTATTTTTGTGATTTGTAAATCTTTGAAACAATTATTCGAAGAATGTTTTGATTGTTTAGACACCCGCGTCGATAATTGAACACACAGCAAAAGTGAAAATAAAACGGAAGTCTGTGAAAGCGCATTCGATCGATCGATTTGAATCCTATGCTGTTGCAAACAATGGATAAACCATGTGAATGAAGTGAAATTGAGTGACAATGAGTAAAGTGCTGCTAAAATTGATTTCATTTGCTACCTCATTGATATTCATCGGTGTGAAAGCACGGGAATTTAGCATAGGTCCGTGTCAGTTCCAGTACTACGAACCGTGTAACTCGGACGCCATAGAGTTCTACCTATTCACCAGTGATAGTCCAAATGATGCTCCAATTCTGCTGGACAACATTGACCCCAAAGTTCCGGGGCACATAAATCTTACCTATAGGAATAAGTTGATAGTGCATGGATATAATGGAAACCTCGATTTCAATGCAACGAAAATGATACGAAATGGTTCGTTAGAAAGTTTTCTGCAACAAGATCGCAAATTATCAACCAACTCTATCCTTCCAGCCTACCTGAGACAATCTCACACAAATGTCTTCGTCGTCGATTGGGGCAAGCTCTCCAAGCTGCCCTGCTATCCGACGGCGGCTTTCAATACCAAACAGGCTGGCGAGTGTACGGCGACGTTCTTAATTGGTCTCAAGGCCAACCATCCGGAGTTCAGCTGTCGGGATCTACATTCTATCGGCTTCAGCTTGGGCGCACATGTGCTCAGCTTCACCAGCAACGCACTGGAGAAATCAATTGGCGTAAAATTCAGGCGAATTACAGGTTCTGTATTGACATAGAAGTTGGGGCCATAAAAATATTCAAACCGGTGTCAGTGCACTCTTGCAAGATGTTTTTGCTCCTCAGCAGGTTTCCCCTCAATCTCCAGCACTAACAGTTTCGATCGGGTAGCTTGCACTCAGCTTAAACTACGTTGCATAATCTCACATCCAACCGGGCAAAAGAAATAAATTCGCACTACTAACTGGCTGCATTGAAACACCACCGGCAATCTGTGTTCTAAAAATTGACTGTGACAGTGTCACTCGGTCAAACAACCCAACCTACCGGCTTTAACATTGTATACAGCGAACGTAGTGATTGAAAAAAAATAGATTCATTCCAGTTACATTTGATCCTTATGTTTATCTAAGAAACCGCTTCTGCAAAACTTCATGGCTCTCGCTGATTAAACGTTGAGCAATTATTCAAAATGCTGCACATGAATCATTGTCAATGTTACTGCTAGTGTACTCCCAAGCGGATGTGTTATGTGTTGTTTTTTTTCGAGTAGGTAATTGCCATTACAAAACACTACGCACCTCCACCGGTTGACCGTTGAGTGTCATAAAAGTCTATGATCGATTAAACGTTGTTGTCGTTCTTTACATTGACACCGTTTGAGGGGGATTATGCAAAATCTACTGGGTCGGATAGGTTACTGGTAGTTTGAATTTAATTTATTACTTGTGTAGTGAGAAAAGGTGGAAGTCAATTTGATATTTGGGGAAGATGAGGCAGCGAACTTAAAAGGCAATAGAATGTTCAACTACTTACCTACTAGCAGATTTGTGCCAAAATGAATATTTAAACGAGTGTTATATATCTAGGTCAACTAAGCTCAACTAGAATATCAATTTCAAGCGTTTAAAATTTTTGCATTGACGGTTTGTCATCATTACAGATGCGAAAAAATTGTCCCCAATAATGAATGTGAATGCATGCAAGCCATTGTTAGTCAATGGTTTCAGGATCAAGTACCATGATGCTCAACCTGTTTTAAACCAAGTTTCAAGTTCCAGAAACAGTAATTAATCATTAGTCATAGTATAAACTAAAAGTGATTCTGCCTAGGGGTCTACTCCAAAATTACGTAATGCAAGAAAGTGTAGAGTAATGTACAAACCCATTATGTTTTGCAACAAAGTAAGAGAAAGCGGGGGTTGCTATACACAGAATTATCGTATAGCTGAAAATTATACATTAACTTTCACAGTTAAATGACTTCAGAGCGATTCAAAGTATTTATTTAGTTTTCTAGGGAAAAGATGCTGAAAAATCAATAGACATTAACATATTTAAATTTATTCCAAGCTTTCATAAATCCTAATTCATAGTAATTATGGCTTACAGAGTTAAAATCAATTTTAATCAGTAATATTTCATTTTTAATGCCCATTATCGATAACCAGTAAATAATTACTTATTTTAAAAATAAAGTGGATGTACCAGCAAACAGGTGAGGAAGGTGGCATTTGCCGCTAAAAAAATTACTGAAGTGTGGAGAAATTGCTTCAATTGTCCCTTTTCTTTACATCTTGAAAATGTTCTCATCTTCTACGTAGTTCCATCAACATCTTGCAAGATCCATAATTAATGTTCCCAAGTTATCTCAATTTCACGAAGATCTCAGAACATTCATGACCTTCTTCAAACTTCAGGAAAAATCCCTTCTTTAAGAATTTTCCTTAACATCTGAGCGAATCAATAATTCAAAAACTTCCAGTAAAAACACAATTTTTGACTCAATATTTTCCGATTTGCACGAAAATTTTGTGTTAATAGGCAATCGTTTTTAGCAAACATTTTCGCAAAAATTCAGCCATTTTGGTTCTTGTAACTTTCTCAAAATATCATATTTGAAAAAAACGACACTTCTTATCGAAATTACATCAAAGACAAAGTTGTTTATAAAAGTAAAGTGATTCTGGGACAAACGGTAATTCTTTTAGTAATTTTGAGTAAAAATTCAAAAAAGTGTTAAAACTTTAAATATTATAAAAATATATCTTCAATATTTATGATTTATTTTCTAAATATAGCTCATGAAATGTTCAAAGTTAGGGAGTATTTAAAACTATAGACACTTGAAAATTGACAGAAATCGTAGAACATCAACTTTTGGTCATATTTTTAAACTTCTTATTAACTAGCTTATTAACTTATTAGACGTATTTTTAGCACAGATAACGATTTACAATATCTTAAATTGGTAAACTTGACTACTTCTCACTCCACAGGGCCTGGGTTCAATCTCAGTCGGCGCCATTGGGATTTTATGAGGGTTTAAAATCTCTGATCACGCCTTTCTTCGAAAAGGAAGTAAACCCGTTGGTTCCAAACTAGTAAAAAGTTCTAACATTTCATCAACAGTTTTGATGATTTTTGACCATTTTCAAGTGTCCGTGGTTTTGAATATTCAAATTTTTTGCATTTTTATGAGCTTTTTTAAAATTAAAAAAGTTTCTATTTTTAGATACTTGAGATTTATTCAATTTTTTTTTTAATTTTTACTCAAAATTACAAAAAAAATACCATGTATATTTTTCCCAGAAAGATTTTATTTTTCTCCACAACTTTTTTTCAGACCTTATTTCGATCAGAAGGGACGTTTTCGTGCTATAATTTATTAAAAAGGATAAATACGCCATTTGAAAAAAATCACAACATCTAAAATAGTTGCTTTTTTTGGAAAATCGAGTTTTTCCGATTCGTCATTTAGCGAGGAAGTGCTCTGAAGTTAGGTCTACAAATTATCTGAAGTTCTGTTAAGTTCATTAAGAAGCTCAACTAGATTGCTGAGCTTTTACAAAGTTAGTTGAACTTCTATAAAATTAGATTCACTTGGTGTTTCTTGAAAATCTATGAATTACATTGAAATTCTTAAACGAACCCTTTACTATTAAGAAATTTTGCAAGATTCTACAAAGTTCTCTGAAATCAAATAATGTTCGCTAAGCTTTTACAAATTGCCATTGACTTTTAAGAAGGTCACTGCACTTCTGGGAATACTCAGCTTCATTGATCTGAAATCCTTCCCCGCCCACAAATTTAAAAATAGCGGTTAAGACATGTGAAAAAATCTCGTCAATGCTGTTGAAGATTTGTTGTAAATACACCTGGCATCCTTAGGCTGAATAACTCCCACTTCATGTAAGAGAAAACAGGAGAAGTTGTTACACTATCGCTGTTTCGTTTACGTCACCCTTATGGAATGTGATGAGGGCATCGTTAAAATCAAGGTTGCAAATACTCATTTCAGCTAAAACAATGTTTTTTTAATTATGAAATAATTAGATGCCATGATCATATTTTGAATTGGTAGGATACAAGAAGAGGTTGCAAAGAATGTGTTTGACATATTAAACCTGTTTATTTCACTACATGAGAGTCACAATCAGCAATTTTTCACACACTCACTCCCTCACTCACTCACTCAGCAAATCGCTGATTGTGACTCATAGAAAGCCAAATTTACAGGTTTTATGTTTCAAACGCATACTTTGTAACCTCTTCTTGTAAGTTACAATTAAAACATGCCATCATACCATCTTTTGGTTTTTTTTTTATTCCGAAAAACATTATTTTAGCTGAAATGAGTATTTGCAACCTTGGTTAAAATGAAAATGAAACTGAGAGTTCGTCACCGAAACAGAAATCCTGAGTACGGCTATGTGTGCAGTGATGCCAACATTGCAGTTTAAACTGAATTCTTCCAGTATTTTTGGACGCATGCAGTCAAACAGTTAAAGTTTGAAATCTTCCAGTTTTTCGAGAGTTCATCGAGTTTTTGATCAAAATATGTTGAAGTATGATTACTAGACTGATGCAAAATTTGAAATTTTCGCTCCACAGTGTTCAAACGGTTTCAAATTGGGTCCTGATTAGCCTCCGAAAGTTTAAACTCATTTGATAAGAAACTGACTTGGTACAAACCATTTGAAGTTTATATGGAAAATACTATGGGAAAACAAAACTTTTTGTTCTTTGTCTTTTAGCCTTTTTACATATTGTACTGTTAACAAATTCTATTGCTATTCTTATGAGAATTTTTATCAACTACAACTTTGCAGAAAATCGTTTTTCAGCCAAACGCCAAATTAAATAGTTATTAATTGTTTAAGAGATTGATAATCTTATCGCAAGATTAAGCAACTGTATTGTAGGCAACTGTATTCTGCAATGTGACATAGAAGCCATGATTTTTGTCCTCTATTCTACGCGCCATAAACACCAATGTTGCCTGCTGAACAGATGATTGAGCATAATCATAAGACATCAGTGACTTGAATCATTAATAACTTTTGTTCCTTACATTTGATCGAAAACTGGTCTTGAATAAAGTTGTAGCTGAGAAAATTTTCAACAAGCTCAGCTATCATTTTTAAAAGTAGAGTGAACTGGTGAAATTTGAGATAGATATGAATCGAACTTATGGTTTCTCCATAGTAATTCCCATGTAAATTTCAAATGGTTTGTGTCAAGTCAGTTTCTCAATAAATGAGTTCAAATTTTAGAAGGTTAATCAGGGCCCAATTTGGAACCGTTTGAGCACTGTGGAGCGAAAATTTCAAATTTTGCATCAGTCTAATGATTACCAGTACAGATGCTTACATTTTAAAATTTTATATTCGAATTGAAATCTGGAAATACAATTTATATTAACAGTCATAAAGTGAAAAATGCGTTGCAATACTGCTCACTTCATTGCAACGAAACAGGCGTTTGGTATTATGACAGATAACATAATTTTATGTCAAAGTTTACCTAAATGATGATGAGTACTTGTTACAAAACAGTACGTTTTAGATCATGCCATCAATATTAATAATGTATCGCTGATGTTTTACTACCATATTTGAAATTATCGGGGTTCTTATTCCTATGTCTTCTTCTCATATGGATTCATTTAATTAAATAAAAGTAAGATTTAAGCTGATAATTATAAAAGGTAGACCCCATTTTGCTAAATAGTATGCCCTGAGCTTTCCAGGATTTACGAA